CTCTAATTGACGCCTGTGGATAAGCGGTGAAAAATGCCAATACATTTACTTCATTTTCTTCGTTGTCCACTGATGTCTTACTTTTATCATGTTTCGGGAGAAACTTTCCATTCTCAGAACAATTCTTTAATAGTCTTCTGACCATATCATGACTTGGTCTGTGCTTATTTGGATATCTTTCTGCAAACACGCGACATGTTCTACTAACAATTCTATTACACTCCCCGTAAATGATAATTAAATTTAAAAAGTCGTCGTTTGTGTACCCAGAGTGTGCCAATGTTATTGAAAACACTTGGAAAATCGACAAACTCGCTTTACGGCAACGACAGCAAATCTGCTAAATAAGTAATGACACTTGGTAACATTTAAATGTTTTTCCACGGCCAACCTACAGCTAACTGTCGGATTATATTCGTCTCTGTACTTATGTTCAAATATCTCAAAATCGGTGGGATTTAGGTATAGGGAATGCTTATACCAATGGAAGGAGAATTAACAGGTGCATCTACTGGCATTATAAAACACATGGTGTTCTATTTAAAATAAGCGAGTTACTAAACTTTGAATTTGACACAATTGGAACGAGTTTTTTAGACGCCCTGTGTGAGATGAACCAACTTTCGAATATTCCAGATATTTGGACACGTTTTGGTATTGACCATCTAAAATTTCAGCTTCCTATATTAAAAATTGGAGGAGGTAGAACCGATTACGTGTAGGTATGTTTTTTCAAAAATTTTGAAAAAGTCAAAATATTTCAAAAATTATCGAGTTTAAGGATAAAGTAAGGTTATGAAACTTACCTTCAAATTCAATGTAGAATCCAAAAATTAAATAAAAAATAGTACATTCCATTTGAAATAAGCGAGTTGACGTCTACTCCACGGCGACGCCAATATTTTCAATCGATAGAACATTAGGAGAAACCCCCGTACATAAATTTTCAGAATTCCAGTATGCGTAGTTTTCAAGAAACGTCTAATTGAAGGTCTATCTGGAACACCCTGTATGTATATTTTTAAAGATAAAATTTGAAACAATAGCATTGAAAATACAAACTTGATACTTGTTTCTCATTGGTGTATTCTTTGTACAAATAAAATTTTTACAAAATCTAATCAGTGGTGTAGGAGTTAATGGTTATGGACTATGAAAAAAATAAAATAAAATAAAATAAAATAGAAATTTTGTATTGCCTAGAAAAGTACAGCAAGTTATTTATATACTTACATAAAATAGACATGGTATCAAAATTTTCCATTAGACAGACAAAAGTCTTAAAAATTATCTTTTACCTATCACATACAGGGTGTACAAGCGCTTTCACTAGATTATTTTACACCTATTATCTCTAAGAAAAAATAGGCCAGAATCCTCGATATACAATCTGATTTTATGGAAGATTGGCGGTGGTTTTGATCCGTTGGAGTATGTTGTAAGAGTTGAGAAGGATTGTGATTATTATATTCGTGATCAGCACCCTTGAAAACTGGAGGAGGAGCACAGAGGCGAGAACGAAAATTAAGGGTAGTTTTGGGCCGTTCAACGGGATTGTGATCATTATATTCGGGATCAGCACCATCAAAAAACGGGGGGGATAGAGATGTAAAGTTCATTGCCGGGGCCCGAAATTAAAAAGGGAGTGCCTTAATTTCGAATTCAGCACCCTCGAAAACGGGGATTGGGGTTGGTTTCGTAGCTGCAACAAATACTTCCCGAAATAAGTAATGTTCTGCATTCTTTCATTACACTATAATAAGAGACCCCTTTTTGTGAGTAGGTGCATCTACAAAACATATTAAAGGAATCTGTAATTCTTTCTAGATGACGTTGACTGAAAAGAGAATAACTTCAATCCACGTAGATTACTTCTATCATAAACTGGCGTTTGTATGAATTATGTGGTAAAGATTTAAGT